GTATGGATTTCTTAGCTGTATGCTGTTAACTGATCCAGTGCCTCAGGACAGTGTCCCAATTAGTATGGATATACAAGAAAGTGTTTGCAAGTGATTTTGATGCCTGTCAAATCAAGTGGCATGCAATGTTTTAATGTTAGATAATTATAAATTTTATAAATATTATACATTTTTTATCCATGCCAGTAAGTTAATCAGGCAGAAACTTGTTTGGATGAGTCAAAATAGCACCTAAGTTTAGTTTTACTTTCATGTTAGGTGCACAAGGCTAAATTAATTTGCCCTTGAGAGGGTATAAAATAAGATGAAACAAAAAAGAATGAAATAAAAATGAGATTTCTGAGAGGCAGAATGAGAAATAAAGACAACTGAAGCTGAAGGCTGTACATAAAATAAATTTGTGACTTGAAATTGATTAGAGATGCAGGCATCTCTCATTTCATTTTCTGTAATTTTAGTTTGAGGCTTGAGGCTCAAATGGAGTGAAATGTTATAGTTTTTTGTGATTAGCATGAGAGAAAGTTATGAGATGTTTTTGTGATGCAAACACTGGAGTAGCCTAAGCCACTTCAGTTCAAATGTTCATTTCACAAGGCATTTTCAAATTAAGTTCAGTATTGTGAACTCTGCAAACTACTGTTATGACCACAGTTTTGGATTATTTATCTGCATACTGAGTAAATAAATTCTGAGATAATAAATGATTGATGACTTACACCAGCATTAAAAGAGGTCAGCATGATGGCTCATTTATTATTAGGCCACATTCCCAGAAATCAAATGCAATTCCTAGCAGTTATAGAGTTCCAAAATGTCGACTGAACTAAGAATCATTGAACGAAGGCTTATATGCATGGAAAACACTTTCAGCTGACACCAGATTACATTGGGAAAAAATGTTGATTAAAATAGCAAAATCATAAATCTAGTCTACTTTTTTAAAGGGGTCATATGATGCAATTTCAAATTTTCCTTTCTCTTTGGAGTGTTACAAGCTCTTGGTCCATAAAGAAGATCTGTAAAGTTGCAAAGACTAAAGTCTCAAATCCAAAGAGATATTCTTTATAAAAGTTAAGAGTAAACCTCACCTACCTAAAACGGCTCGTTCTAACACGCCCCCACATATCTACGTCACTATGTGGAAAGATTTGCATAACACCGCCCAAATGTTCACGCAAAGAAAGAAGGCGTAACTTTTATTCTCGCTGTAGTATTGTTGCCGCCGCTGCCATGTCATGAAGGTGTTCTGTGATTCGTTGTGAAAGCGAAACTACTTTGTTTGGTCTTCCAAAAGAGAACGATATCGCTTCGTCATGCCTGGAGCTGATCCGTGCTGGTCGCTGAGGAAATACTTCTTCGCGCTGTCGGCTTTCACCGTGGACGAAGCGGAGTCCAGCCCGGGGTCATCACATGTGGTTGCCGCAGGCATGGCAATATGGTAAGGGACGTAATATTTCCGTCACACGCTTGAGGTATTCGGCCAATCACAACGCACTGGATAGCTGGCCAATCAGAGCACACCTCGCTTTTTCAGACCGATGAGCTTTGTAAAAATCGACGCGTTTCAGAAAGGTGGGGCATAGAGGAGAAACAATAATGTACAGTATGTGGAAAATAATGTTTTTTTTTTTACCTTAAACCGCATAAACACATTTCATTACACCAAATACACAAAATAATGTTCTTTTTAGCAGCATAATATGACCCCTTTAAATGAAAAAAAAATTACGCGATAATCATACTTTTTTCCCAAGAGAGGCCTAACAAGCAACAATGTATCCAGCTATCAAAGGGTTTAATCCATTAAACGTGAAATTAGATTAAGCCGTTGAAATTGACTATTTTATGATTAGATTAATCCTCAAGCAGGAGAGAGTGCATGTTTTGTCAGTGCGTTAACCCTAGAGTCACTGGACAGACATTGTTTTCCATCCCTGCTTCCAATCTGATCACAGACAGCATAAAATTGGAGCATTCGACTGTTGAATATGTGAGAGCAACCTGTCCAGCAGCGAGTCAGAGAAAATGTAAGCCCACCCAGTATGTGAATGTCTGCTCTTCTCTTTCAATTACATTTCCATTGCAGCCAGCTGTGAGGTTTCGTTGCCAAGGCAACTCAGACACCCACTCTACCGTGCTTGGCTCACCCTTGCTGAGCAGCCACATTGGTCAAGACCCACTAAAAGCGACCGAACAACAAGAGAGAGGGAAAGAACGAGTAAGCTAAGGTCAGTGGATGTTTTTGTGCGTGATACCTGTGTATGGCTAAAGAAGGAAGAAAAAGAGAATTTGGTGTTAGTGCATCATCTGAATTTGTCCTAGAGAATGTACAAGCATGTGTTTGTATATGTATGGAGTCAAGAATATGAGTATTATTGTTTTAAGTACAACTGTGAGAGCAGTCATGTTTAGATGTGTTGACCAAAAAAGATTAACAATGGTTACATATCTCATATGCCATTTGTTTGCTTTGAGTCTAGCAACTGTGTGCTGATGGCTTTATAAATGAGAAGACTGTCATTTTGAGATATTGGATGGGGTAGGAGGATGTGATGCTTGGTGAGAAAATGAAGCATGAATTGAAGGGAGCATAATTCAGCTTTAAGAGGGTTTTGCCTTTCATTTGAGATTTTATAGCCTATATACACTGAACAAAATTATGAACGCAACACTTTTGTTTTTGCCCCCATTTTTCATGAGCTGAACTCAAAGATCTAAGACTTTTTCTATGTACACAAAAGGCCTATTTCTCTCAAATATTGTTCACAAATCTGTCTAAATCTGTGTTAGTGAGCACTTCTCCTTTGCCGAGATAATCCATCCACCTCACAGGTGTGGCATATCAAGATGCTGATTAGTCAGCATGATTATTGCACAGGTGTGCCTTAGTCTGGTCACAATAAAAGGCCACTCTAAAATGTGGTTTATCATTTTGTTCAGTGTATATGGTGTGCATAGAGGTGCATCACACTTAAATGCTGGTCTTGAGACACTCAACCACACTCTCTTGCCATTTTTACTTTACAAAGGTGGCATATATATTCACAGAGGCATCATAAATTCATTTCAGCACATTACAATCAATGAAATTACATAAATTTTGAAGTAGCCTATGATATTATGAATATAGAACAATTAATGAAAATCCTCTGTTAGCTAACTGAATAACTTTTCAATAACCACAAAAAGTTTACAAGTTAGACTTTGCTAGAATATTTGTAATTGGGTAACCACAGCAACAGCTGTCTTTAATATTGACAAACCATAAGTACTGTATGTTTTCGTCTTCTTGTGATAGGCTACATTTACACAATCAAAATATATTACATAAAGCTTTAGTAACAAGTTTTGTTCAAACCACGCACGACGAACTGCAGTAAATTAGTGACAAATTAGATTTACTTTAATACGTCGGACGTCGTTGAATAATTCACACACCATATCATCCACTCATTGAGGAAGTCTTCCAAATCAAAACAACAACATTTTGGTTCTAGTGTATTTGTGCATAAACTAAAAGATTGAAATCGAAAAGATGATGAGAGAACATAAAAATCTCGGGCACATTCATTCAGAGCTCCTAAAGCAGGGATCCTCAAATCTGGCCCACAAGATCCACTTTCCTGCAGCGTTGAACTCTAACCCTAATCAAACACACCTGAGCAAGCTAATCAATGTTTTCAGGATCATTAGAAAATCACAGATAGGTGAGTTTGATCAGGGTTGGAGCTAAACTTTGCAGCGCATTGGCCCTCCAGGGCAAGATTTGAGGAACCCTGCCCTAAAGGGACATGGTGGTGGAAAATAAAGGGTGGGAGGAAAAAATATTTTTCAAATCTTTTGCGTTTCCGTAGAAAAAAACATTATAAAGAAAACTCTTAACGTGGCTTAATGGATTAGAGCGTTGCTTGCCTGTATAGTATTTTTAATAAACTATCCATAGGGCCTAAAATTTGGGCTTTCACTGTCTTATTAAGCCATGTTAAGCATGGTTTTCTATTTGGGAGAAAACGCTTATTGTGCAATTCAGCGTGTTTACAATCTGCTTGCTTGTACACAGTATATATTTTTTAATCATTTCTATAGCATATTTGGTGTTTTTTTAATTACTGTTTTCATTAAGCATTTTCTTTATAATTGCTTCTGGAAGGAAAACGCTTAAAGTGCAATTTAGTGCTTTCTGTTCATATTCTAGGCTTATCTGCTGTCCTTACCTGTCGCGGGGCCTTGTGCAAGATAGGGACCGGGGCCCCCCTCGGTCCGTTCGCCGCGGGGTCCGGTGTGGCCGCACCAGTTGCAAATAACGGCCCTGCCTGTATGTAGTATATTTTATTAATAAACTGAAATATTTTTTTAAACTAAATTTAAAAAAAGTAAAAAAAAAAATGTTTTAACTAAATTTTATAGGCCTACCGTCTTAGTCCATTAATTAAGCATGTTCTTTCTATGAAGGAGAAAACGCTTAACGTGACATTTAGCGCATTACGTACATATTTTGGGCTATTCTGCTTGTCTGTAAATAGTATGCTTTATTAATAAAGTGTGTAGGCCTACTGAATTTGGTCTTCCAATGTCACTGGTTTAGTACACGAAGTCACATTAAGCGTTTTAGAATGTCCCAAAACGGTGCCTTGAACTAAGCACAGACTGTATTTCTTTATACAAGTTCAAAATAAAACTCTATTAACCGCTCCATTGTGTAAAAGCATTTGTCCGAACTCAACTAGTTTTGCGAGCAAACGCAAATGTCTTCGCGAGAGAAAGCAAAAGTTTTGCGAGCGAACGCAAAGTTTCTCGGGGAAACTTTGGGGAACGCATATACGATTTGAAAAAAATTAATAAATCTCTCACCCCGTATTTTCCCCCTATGGGGGCTCCGTAAATTCACGCCTTTCATTTCGATCGCGCTCCAGTTTACGTCCATTACGTCACTACTGGTAAGAGAACCAATCAGCAGCGCGATCGATGTGATGTTGCAGAAGTAAACTCTTTCGCGGTTTCTCGCTTCAAACTGTGGGCGTTTAAAAAGAAGCAGCGTTTTTAAGTATGAGAACGACTCAATCAAAGAAGTAGGCATTTACTCCTGCCGGAGAAAATGAAATCTTTAGTTCATTTTTCTAATTGGAATGGAAGGGGAGAGTATTATGTGTTCTCGAGCGGCTCGCGCACGCATGCAATCACAATCGCGCGATTTAATCTGCGACCACAGTGAAAGCAGCACGAGCTACCTGTTTGTTTGCTATGTCGATATCCTCTTCTAAACCCGCGACTGAACTGTTGGCATCAAGCTGATGTTTAAAACATTAGTGCTTTGCCGTCAGAGATTATACCTCATGCATTCAAATGAATGTTACTTCAAATGAAGCATGAACCAATTGGTTGGTGTTATTTTGTGAAGGCTGTGAAGTTCGTGTTTTTCTAAGGTGCCTGAACTGGTGTGTGTGCTCCACATATTGAGGTCTGGTAATTTATCTCAGCAGATGCTCTACAGAGAATGTCCAACAGAAATGGGGGGGGGTCACAAGAGAGACGTAAAGATAGAAACACTTCACAACTGTGGTGCCTCACAAAATGTGTGAGGGACGGATAGGCTATCAGTGAAAAGTCAGTGAACGACTTTTAATTTTAACATCTTCGCTGATATCTTTCCGATATAGAGTAGAGGGGAAAAGGGCTGGAAAATAAAGTATGAGTTGGAGGGAGAAACTATAAGTAATTTGCAAGTATATTGCAAATGTTACAAACAGAAAAGAATTGACAAGTATAAGAGCAGAAGCTAGTGATGTTTACATGCTTATTTATATTGCTATGCTTCTTTTCTTTCTTTTTTTGTTTGTCATACACTATACCTATTTGGCATTCAAAAGTCTGAGACCACTAGTGGAAATGCATGTATGTTCTTTTCTAGTTTGGTTTATTTATTTATTTTTATTTTTTGCAAATTATATTATCGGGATAATATTTGATTGAAACATTAACATGAATTGATAATGGCAAAATTTCTTAGTATTTTGTTTGTCTCCCCTTTGCTTTAATAACACTTCTTCAAGGGAAACATTGAAATTTGCTGTTTTGTACAAAGGAGTTCACATGGTCAGTGTCAGTATTGCTTGTTTGATTGGTGATCTAAAAATCATGCAGAAGCTTACATAATTTTGAGTTTCATATAATTTTTTCATAACGTTTTCCTTGGTTTAAAGTTTTTCAAAATCCTTTCAGAGTGTCTCAGACTTTAGGGCTCCTCTTCACATTTGTTGTTGTGGTAAAGCGAAACACCATAACATAAATTAAACCTTTCTAAAAACTTTTTCAACTTTAAACCTAAAACAAAGTACTTTATTTTTCTGTGTACATTTCAAAGTCATATTGATGTAATTTGTATTAAATGTGGAAAATTTTCTGGAGAGAAACACAGTTTGGCATATAGCGGTGTGAAATATTTGTTGTTAATTATGCATGCCAATATTCTGTGCTTTTTAAAAATTTATTTATTTATTTTTGCCAGTTCTCTGAAAATCTATGTTAATCTGTTTTAGAATTTGTGCATGCTAAAAAAAAGTGGGAAAGATACATAATTCTACATTTGTCTGTCTGTTTTTAGTTTGGAAGGTTGCCTGAATCAAGAAGAGCAGCTGTAGACACCAGCAGCTGGATTTCACTACCATCCTGATGCACAGCACCCTCTCAGACTGACGGGTTTTCTCTGGCAGCAAACTGGCAGAGAGAAAGAGAGCTCACACAGGTGGGCCAGTGATTATAGATTATAGATTTGGAGATTACAGGACAACAGCAGGTCAGGCTACATTGCCTTGTTGAAATCCGTGTTCTCCACCTCACCAATTCTCTTAAGAGCTGTTATTGTGAAATTGGCGAGCGAGTTCTGCGACGCAACACATTTACAAGCACTCGGCTGATCACATACTCCACTAGCTGTTAGACAGATGCAGTGTTAGAAGAAAATCGGATGAATCTTCAAGCTACTTTCATTGAAGACACCGTAAAGATCAAGGAACTAGCATGGTGGCATGTCTGTGCATTTAAAGTAACTACTGCCGAATGAATGAGATGGAAATAGTTTTGAGAGTGTTGTAGAATGTAAAACTATTCAAGATGTTTGCAAAAGAGCTTCATTACAAGTCTGTGAGAAAACTCCACCCTTTTCCACCTCTGGCTGCAAAGTTCGACATTGTGGCTTGCTAGACGGAGCATACGGGCGCGAACAAACCGGATTAGAGTGACAAACTTGGACTCATAGAGGACTGTAATGGAACAGACACAGATGACAGCCTAGCTTGTCTGGCACTGAGACGTCAAAACCACAGAGGGGACTATTCCTCCAACTGTCGCTGCTGGGAGAATAGAGTCGATCACACACACGCCTACAAGCAGACTGTTTTTTAGAGGTGAAAGACTGGTGTGTGTTTGAACCGTGGCAGTATAGACAGTTCAAAAGCGTGAGAGAGAGAGCTGGAGGAGATCACATAGTGTAGGGGGAAGAGAGCGAAAATAAAGAGCGCTAAAAAGGTGCCACAGCAGTGGTGACACATTAAAAGAGAAGACTGACAGACTGGAGATCAGCAGTGGCAGTTCACAGGTGGACAGTTTTGTGAGATTCACACACTTTTGGGTTTAAAACCTGTAGCTCAGTACGCCGAGTAGTACTGAGTCCAGTTTGGGCACGGTGGCAGGAGCCGGTTCATGGGAGTGGGGCGGGCGCATGCCGTCTGTGCCTCCGCAGCGAGAGGGACGCTTCAGCTTGGGATGGGGTTGGGGTTGGGCCGCATGGGCTCGGGCTCAGAGGACGGGTGAGCTGAGACCCTGGGTGGCCGCCGGAGTCGGACCAGCAGTGGCAGGAGAACGCGGGGGTAAACGATGCTCCCTTCGCTTCTGCGTGGTCTTGGGATCCCTTGCCCTCCTGTTCCTCACCTCACTCTTCTTCTCCTTCTCGCTGAGAGGAGGAGCCGGCTTGCCTTATTTGGAACCCCCGGGATGGGAAGAGTCTCACAGAGTTAAGCTAGTGCCCAGCTACGCCAGTTCCCACCTTGTCATCCCGGCTGAGAGCTCTCAGCAGAAGACATGTGCCTGCTCTCAGTGCGTGGGCGACCCAGGCATTTCTGACTGGTTCGACGAGAACTATGACCCGGACATCTCGCCTGTGTGGATTCGGGACAACATCCAGCTGCCTTCAGACGTGTACTACTGGTGGGTGGTAAGTGATCTTATGGTTACTCTCTTCTGCTTTTAGCTTAAGAAACCCTTTCAGTTGATGTGGTTGGACTTTGTTGTGGTTCGATTTTGTGAAATGCTTTTGGCCTCATGCATTAACTAAATGAAAAAACAAAATAAAATGGCTACAAAATTGTTGCATGTGAACTCACACTGTCCTTAATTAAAAGAGACCTAATTTTGTTGTGCTTCTCTCCTTTAAATGAGAGAGGTTAGCGATCTGCAATTGTGCTTATGCATCATGTTTAAACGACAGGAAGCCAAGAGGGCATTTTCATTAAAAAGAACATGAGTAATGTCTGAAAAAAGTGTGTCAGCTGAAAAGTGTAAGTCCGTAATACTTGCTCAGAGTGAATTAAAAGCAGGGCGGGCGCCGGGCTGCATTAAGCCAAAGAAGCAGTAAGATTTTGAGATGAAGGTTAGGAACATGCTTGCACTTATGGAAACTGCTGAATTTGACATTTTCTTCAGAAAATGTAAAAGGTGCTGTTAGAATGCTGGGGTGGTCTAGGTGGTTGCTTAGGTGGTTTATTACTGGTCCAAAAAAAAAAGAAAAGAGTGATTGTTAATTGTTTTGGCAGTGTTGGACTTATTGGACATTTATTTCAGAGTTTAATAAGCATAATTACTCAAAACTAATTATGCAATTTGTTTTATGAAATTTAGGTTGGACTGATGAAATTCCTCTGTGTGAAATTTTTTAATTGCAATTAATTAAATTTCTCTTCCTTTTATTCAAATTCTAATTCAGCGTCCTGTGGGCTGTAACAAGTTCAAATCAAATTTAAATTCAATCAAGTCAGGAATTTAAATTCTGATTGTTGCACAAAACTGCTATACAGATACTGTATAACTTACATGAATATGCACACTACTGTTCAAGAGAGGTTGGTAATTTTTTTAAAATGTTCTTGAATGAAGGATGTTTATTT